ATATTATACTCGAGTAAACTTTTTGTTTTAATTACGAATGTAAAACACCGAATATATTATTTATTTACAAGGACGCGGGAAGTATATGGTTTCCCCCGGTTGTGTTATTTTGAATTTCTCCTCCCCCCACGTCCAATTAGTAAAGTGAATTTAATATTAAAAACCGGCAGTCCGTGTGCGAACATATATGATACGCATACCGAATATGATATCGTTGTACACTGCAGACCATTTCAAATTCAAATAACAGTTCTTTCGATTTTTTTTTCCATTCGATAGTATTTAAAATGCATAGCTCTGGGGATGGTCAATACATGGATAAATAATAAATATTTGCATATTATGCAGCACGTGCTCCGATTATCGACGTGAGCCGCTGGAGGGCGAACGTGTTCGGTTGTGCGTACGATTACTATCCTTAAGATCAATCTGGTCGGAAAACGGTTATAGTGAGGGGTAAGTTATGAACTATACTGCAGTCGTTTTCGTCAATGAATTATGAAATGTTCCGAAATCAATTAAATACTACATTGGTCGTACGACGTGTTTTCTGGGTGTGAGCGTGGGGGCAAGTAGATACAACAATATAATCGCACGCTCCCGCATCACGTCCGTTTGTTCGCAACCGATCATAAATCGTACAACAAATATATTAATAAACAAGTTATTGAAACACAAACACCGTGTTATCAATAATTTCGATACGTGATTTCCATAAGCGTAAGATTCAAAAACCAAACAATCTGTTTAATACCGTGCGTTGATGAGTACCAAAAACGTCATTGTTATTTTTGCGTTTGACGGTAATAACAATATTTAACATAAAATTATATAGACGAACATAATGGATGAAATTCCCAGTTAAATTCACAAAAACATTTAAAAATACGCGCGAGCGATTATTCAATAATCAAAAGACGGTGTTAATCTAGAGTTATCTCTTCATCAGTTCATGTATATTGCGTTTGCGTTAACCTTGTTAAAAGTAATGATTGTAAGTATTATTATTACAACATTTTGCTGTTTTACGTGGAATACAAAAGATATTTTATAAATACCTTAAATCATATTATAATACAACCCTAGTTTACCCTTCAAATTAAAAAATATAGAAGAAACACCCGACCCAACGGCAATTGTTTTATTTCTATTCGATTATACATCAATCACCGTACTCAGTGGCTATTTTCGGACTTAGCGTGTACTTTCTTTCTTAATAGAAACTGCATTCATAACGAAATCAATTGGCGTATGAAAGTTGGAAATGGAATTTACCACGTCAGATCTGCTTAAGTCAAAACTAATATAAAATAAAACCAAGGAAAACCTATACGATAAATATCACAGATCAATGATGACATATGTGTGTAATGATTTGGTTACAATAGCAGGAGATGAAAACAGATTATATATTTTCGAGAGGCAAGTGTTGAGTAGAATGTATAGATTTATTTATAACTCCAATACTCAAGGCTGGAAACGAAGAAGAAACGAACAGCTGCATTGAATAAACATAAAATTAAATATTTGTCGAATTTATAAAAGGTGAAAGATTGGAGTGGGTAGGCCAGGTATGGAGAGTTGAAAATAGTATTGCAAAAACAGTAGTTGTGAATAACATAATTAAGAAAATACCACAAAGCCGGCTGTATCAAGGATGGTTAAATATAGTTAGAAGAGAAATAATGGACCTGAAATCGAAGTGAAGTGGAAACTTAAGTCATGCACTTAACAGAGAAGAGTGGAAGCAACTAGTATTGACAGCAAAACAAATGGCATGTAACAGAAAAAAAACTTTTACTTTCTTATCATCTTCTTCTTCTTCTTCCGTGACTTCGGCCTTCAAGACCATGTCGTCCAACAAATTTCTTATCTATGAGAAGAAATATACTTTAAAATATCTGTGCAAAATAATAGGTTATAATTATTCTTATATTTTTTTTCCATTGAAGCATAAATGGATTAACCGAAAAATATTTTACAAAACGTGGAAAAATGGATCGAGTTTACACGGTCGATTAATTGACCGAATTTTAATTAAAAAAATTTCATAATATACATTGCACAAACTAAAGAAAATTTTTAAGTAAATTTCTTTAAGACAAAATAAAATATAATATAATTTAAGTCCTACCTATGTAGTCTTAAAATTCATCAGATCACTGTAGCTTTATAAGAATAATATATTCTCGGTTTTTCATTGACATATGTAAATTATAATGATCGAAGCTGAGTTTTAGGTACCATTTTATTATGAATTAAATAAATTTAATGTATCAAAAAATGCACACTAAAATCTAGTTTATTGAATTAAATATAATATGTTTATAAATAATCATTATTAAAAGTTTGAAGTGTTAAAAAAGTATGTAAAATTAACATTCCAACCATTTACTACATTATATTATCTTTTATAATATTAGTTATTATACTTATAATACTTATAATATTAATCAAATAAAATATCACTTATAATACCATCAACATATTTTTAATTTTAGTTAAGTAAATTAAGTTTAATAATTTAATAATGTATATACAGTTTACACAAAAAACATAACTTCACAATACCATACTACCCAGTTAAATATTTTTTCGGACGGTATGTCTGTTGCCAGAATAACTAATGAGATGCGAAAATACATATTATTTAATGTTAAATATATAAGAAATCCTGTAAAACCATTGAAACAATGAAATATTTGTCGACAAAGTTAAAAACAAAAGACAATTAAAATGCATTAAAAAGAACAAAAAAAAAATTGGATACTGAGTGAAAAATAAAACCGTAAATTAGTCATTCAAACACTTAACATACTCGTATAACAGGTATGTAAGAAATGTTTCGATCAATTTCGCTTAAATTACGTTTATGATGCGATGCGCATTTTATGGGAAAATGCATGCAACTAGTAATGTAAAATGAACGTAATAATATATCACACATAAAAAAAATAAAAACAACTCCAACACTCGTAACGGTTCGCTTTAAAACGGTTACCGCCGTGGAAAGTATCTGGAAAGTGCATTATCATACACGCCGTACGATGTACATTCAGGCGAGTGCACGTCGCTTCCGCGAACACTGTATTTTCATGTCTGTTTTTTCCTGTCCCGCTAGAGTAGACGGTGCGCGGAGATCTTTCGAATTCAATCTTTTTCGGTCGATGTACAAACACACAGTTTATTTTTACTGCGTATTTGTGTATATGCATATATATATATCCTTTCACAGGGTAAGCACTACGCTGGAATATGGAAGAGGATTTATTTTAACGGCGAGCATTAAAACGGTTATCGCGTCGTAAACAAAACGGTCAAATACACGCCGCAGTTATTTTAATCGTTCTCTCTCTCCCTCTCTTCCTGTTTCTATTTATCCAGCTCTCTCATTCTGTTCCTCTTGCTTCCGCTCTCACACGCACACTCTTTACCCACAACAAGTCGAATCTCGAAATGGTCCGATCCGTCGTCCGTCACCGAGTTACGCCGTTGTTCGCGGCCGATTAGTTCCCGAGCGTTATCGAAGTACCGCTTGTATACGGAATCGATTGCTCGCGCTTCTTACCTGAACATGCACGACGTACCCGGATGGGTTAGGAAACGTTGAGCCGCAACGCTCAAGCCTATCAGTCAAATGTGCTGTGAATCCCTGATAAAGACGCGCAGGATGGACGAATGTTCCGGACCGGACGCGTACAATTACCACCGCCGTTCTTTTGTCGAGCCTTCGAATCCTCTTTAAAACGGGACTCGTCCCCGTCCGGTTCAGGATTAGTCTCGTGTTACTTACCCTCGACGTGCTGGGGCATGACGTCACCTAACCGTGACATACGAACGACCGGTCACCCCGCACCGCGGTCTATAATTATAGAGGTTACGCGTCATCGACGTTTTGTTGCTCCGGCCGTGATAGTCATGCCACATTACGGTCGACGACGGCGACGTGCGTTTCTCTCATCGTTACGAAGTCGGCCGAAAACAAAAAAAAAAAAATATAACCGACCAATTCGTGAGATCGTCGTTAAATATAGTGGCCGTGATCGCGTGAGCGTGGTACCAACAACATAACCCAATACCGGAAGGAGGGATAATGGATACCTAGTCGACATAATACTACTTATCGAAAGATTATGACAAATCGTGTGAAGGATCGTTCATCTTTGATATGTATTACCACCGTGTTGCGTCCGGAGTTGCGTCTTTCAAAAAATAGTCGTTTTATTTGTAGCAGCATTATCGTATCAACAATATAGTTCATAAGAGAACTAATACGTGTTGGCACACGTATTATTAAATTATTAGATGAGGTAAACTATGCAAGAACTGTGGACAAGTGTGCCCTAGGAATTTTTGCGGACGATAAAACTTATTGAAATTTCGTAAACGCCATTGAAAATTACATTTTACCGAATATTCAATACTACAACGTAAAGGTAAACGGAACAATTGAGTTGAGGCGGTAGTAAAGGTATATTTTTTTCCACGACACACATTTTTCCCCCTCGTCGGAGTGTATTATATACGGAGTAATCGGTTCCCGAAACATCGAATCGAACGGATATTGTAATAATAATAATAATCACAGGACGTGACGAGGGAGGGTAGGCATCGACCGAAAAAGGGTGCAAACCGGCCGGACGGGTGAACATCAATATTTTTCACAGATACAGTATTATTATTAATACGATTGATATACATGTGCGTGTAATACAGTGTTGTACCCATGTTATTAATTTTCTGAAAAAAAAACCAATCGGAACCCGGTGAAAAAGGGTGAAAAAAAAATGACAAAACCACGATGCACGGCCGACGATGAGGACGACAACGACGACAGACGACTCGTAGGGTGGTGGCGGTTGCCGCGATCGTTGATTTCACGTCCGGCCGCACGATGGCGCTGCGCGTTCGCCCAGGAACCGCCGCCGCCGGTGCACCCCGTCACCGCCGCCGCCGCCGACGGACATCTCGTCCTCCGTCAAACAGCCGTGCCAGTCGACCGTCGGACATCGCCAGGATTACGCGTGTGTATTTATGGTGCGTGCGCGCGTTTCGTTTTTCAGTGCGACCGGGATATCGTTCGTATAAAGATATATAAATATTGCTGCGGAATCGACGCGAACCCTGTGAAAAACAATCCATTCCGTTCGGCCACCAGTTGATATTTCCGTCGAACCGCGTTGAAGTAATCGTTTTTCGTCCGCGGTCCTACCACTCCCCGATCGTTCGTCGATCGCGTCCACAGCATATCGTGTACGTCGTCCGTCGTCCGGTCCGCCACGGTATCCGGAACCGCGGTGCGCGCCACCGATGCTTGTCACGGCCATCCGTGACGCTCGTAGAAGACGTCGCGTGGTCGCCGCGGCCACAGCCACCGCCGTGGACGGCTGCTGCGGCCGGGACGGTCGGACGCCGCAGCCGTCACCGCCGCAACCGCCACCACCGTCGTCGTCCCGCCGCTGATCGCGATGCGCGCAGCGGCGTGATCGCTATCGGCGGTGGTGCGGCAACGATGTCGGGTCGTCCCTGGTGGTGGTCGCCGACCCTGGTGGTGCTTGTGCTCATGGTAACGGCGGACGCGTGCCCGGAGGTGTGCTCGTGCAAGTGGAAGAACGGCAAGCAGAGCGTGGAGTGTAGGAACAACTCGCTGATCACGGTGCCACAAGGCATCGACGCGGCCACGCAGGTGCTGGACGTGTCGGGCAACAACCTGCAGATACTGGCCGCGGACGCGTTCTACGGCGCGGGGCTGCTGAACCTGCAGCGTGTGTACATGAGTCGGTGCCGGATTGGGCAGATCGATGGCAGAGCGCTGCGCGGCCTCAGCAACGCGGTCGAGGTGGACCTTTCGCACAACATGCTCACTGCGGTGCCGTCGACCACGTTGGCCGACGTGCCACTGCTCCGGGATCTGTCGCTAGCCGACAACCCTATCCAGAAAATCGGCGCGCATGCGTTCCGCCACTGTGCCGGTCTGGTGCGCCTGGACATGTCCGGCTGCGAGCTGCACACCGTGGATGCAGCCGCATTCGCCGGCATCGACAGATTGGAAACGCTCAAGCTGGCCCGCAATCGGCTGTCCGGTCTGCTGGCCGCCACGGTGCACACGCTCAACAAGGTGCACGGCGTCGAGCTGCACGACAATCCGTGGCACTGCGACTGCGGCATGCGCCCCGTCAAGGTGTGGCTGACCGCCAACAATGTGCCCACGGTCGTCGATCCAGTATGCGCGACCGGGCCCGGCCGCGTGGCCAACCACACGTTTTCTGCGCTGGCCGCCGATGACTTTGCGTGCCAGCCCGATATCCAACGGGACGACCCCACCGTCGAGGCAGCCACCGGTGACAACGCTTCCGTGTCGTGCCGCGTCCACTCCTCGCCCGCGGCTAAGGTGTCATGGTACTGGAATGGTCGCGCGCTCGCCAACAACACCGCGTTCGGTCCCTTTCAGCGCGTGTTCATGACTGACGACTGGGCCACCAGTGGTGGCCATAGTTCGCTGCTGCTCACCAACGTTCAGCCGTCCGATTCGGGTCAGTTCTTGTGCGTGGCCGAGAACCGGGCTGGCCGTGCCGAAGCCAACTTCACGCTGATCGTCACCCGGCTGGGTGGGCTCGGGTTCTTAGCCAACGGCCAGGTGGCCGGGCTTAGCGTTTTCCTGGTGTTCCTTATCGTTACCATTCTACTGGTGATCGTCTACCTGCTGGTTCGCATCAAAAGTCTGCCGCCCGCGTCCACCCGGTCCAACGGCAAGCCGCACCAGCTGGTCACTACGGCCACATCGGCCAACGTCAATGGCACCGTGGTCGTTGTGCAGGTCAAGCAGCCGGCCATGGCTACGACCGCGACTACGGTGGTAGCTGCATCCGCGAGCCCTGGATCAATGTTCGACCCGGTGCTCATGGAACCGTCCGCGGTAACCGCAGACACCAACTGCAGGAGGCCAAAGCTGACCGAGCTAGCGTTCACCACGGACAATTACGAGGCCGGTTTTGGCAACAGCGGTAGCGTGCTGGACGCGGGCCGGACCGTGCTGTACCGGAGCCAACCGTCCAACCCAGACCTGATAGTGGACGCGCCGGAACAGACGTCGTCCGCTCCAGGGTCGGCTAGCGCCTCGGTCGCAGCCGCTACCGAAAACCATCACCACCACCAGCAGCAGGCCAAACGGTCGAGCAGTGGCGAGTACAGGCGGACAGCTGATGACTCGCTGTACTCGCCCGGCTTTTGGGCGCAGTCCGAGGTCGTGGCCAATGACCGGACGCCCATCGTCGAAAAGTCGCCGCCACTGCCACCACTGCCCGGTCACGTGGCCGTCGGCAGGGACGTCACGGCCACGACAACGGTCGTCGATCCGAAAGCGGCCAGTCTCAGGGTGTGGAAACACGGAGTGCAAGTGATGCCGCCACTTAGCGCGCTTAAGCGGGCCCTGAACAAGGGGTCGCCGGACGAAGGATACCAGGAAGGATGCGGCACCGATGTGTGATCTCAACCCGAAATAAACCTAACCGACACTTTTTAAGTAACATTTATAAAACACCTTTTTATTATGTTCGTGAATTAAGTTTTCATATTTTCTTTTTTCTTTTAAGTTGTACGTCCCTCTCATTACATGTTTTTAAAATGTTCACTGTTAAACATTTTTCCGCCGTAGATCGTAGGACTTACCATACAATACGCTTAAACAGTACCGCATTGATAACAATACGATATTCTATCTGCGCTACAACGAAATTATTTCTCTGTTCGTTGATTTACGCCTGCACATCTCTCTGATAGTTCGGTTTTATTGAAACTACACGGTAGTCGAGTGTAATTTGTAATGCATTATTAGTTCAGCGCGTGTCCCGTTTCTCACTACCGCAACTGCCACCATAACACTCTATGAATTAATAATATTTATGTATGCGTAGTCCCGACCATGTACACGACGAGCGATGCACATTGACAAAATTGGCGACGTCATTGAAAATGTTACGGTTGTCAAGTACGTACACGAAGTACCAATATTTTTGATTTTTCGCAACTCCGAATAACTTTCGTAACCCTTCACGTCATGTACAAAACAATCTTTGCGCCGTTCGCAATTTCACGTGATCCACCAAACTTAAGTGCTAAACAAAACTGATTATTTGAATTATTCAGATCACGTGTGCGGCATCGATATTATAATATCAGCATTAGGAGAGTTCAATTGAATTACAACATCACGATCACCTAAAGTTACGATTTTTTTGATAAAGGTTAGTAAAAAATACTTTCCAGTCGACGTGAAACGATGGTGTTAGAATAGTCAGGTGTAATGATTAATTTCGCCCAGTCGTTTGATCCGTTTATCACAAAGCGGAACAACAGTAAAAGAAAAAAAACAACCGTTCGCCAAAACTTAATATTGTTTTTCCGGAACGTTTATACGTGAAAACCCAACGAGTGGAAACCAGTGGTATCTGCCTATCCTTTGGGTGTTTACCCACGGCACGTTGCTTTAACGCAATACCTTTGCGGGCGCTCGATCGTTAATTACTCGTAAAAACAATATTTACAACACATCGCCGTGAGCGTGCAATCTCTCGACGCCGAAATCCGTAAAGTGGCGGGGTGACGGGTCGGTTCCGTGAGGTATTCTTCGCGATTCGTCCGTACTTACACGGGGGTCGTGTCGCTTGTAATACGATTATTTTCTTTCGGTTAGGTCGTTTGGTCGCGCGTGCATTACAAGAAAAATCTGCCTTGTTCTCGAAAAACTCTCATACCTGCCAGGGTTGACCTTCCACTCCCGATTTCCAAAAAATGTGCTGACCTAACCCAACCAATACGAATATCGTTTGAAATAATTTCATTCCGCTGCATTCGTGTTCAGTAATAGTCGGCGTTTTCGCCCGTTCCGTCGATCTCTAGTATACTGTATGCTCACGGCACTGCCTAAGGCTGCCACGTTTCAACGTCCAAACGCCTCGGTGCGAATATCAAAACGTCCGGTCGTAGTCCACCGTCGCGTCACCGTTCGACCGGTCGACATCCTGTTGGAATAATACAAAAATTAGATTAAAAAAAAAAAAAAAACACTAAACGAAACACGCACTTATGCAAAAGCAATAATATTGCGCGTGGCGTGCTTGTAACAGATAACGTACGCGCGGGATATTGCTGTTATGTTTTAATATTCGTGTGTACCGGGTTCACTAGCACATCGTGCGGTAACGATCTCGCGTTCGCGTGTGAATTATAATAAAGCGCACGTAACAACGATGTATGAGTGTGCGTGTATAAATACGACGTATTTAGCAAACGTTTCGGTTTCATCATTTCGTTTTCGCGTTTTTCGCTCGTCCAGATTCCTATTTTATAATGCTACACCGATCGCTGTGCCTGCCGATCTCGAACAACCGTTATCGAACACTCGAATCTACTTTACTACACTACTTTTCCCCCTCGATGATTTCTTTTATCTCTTTTCTCTTACTTTTTTTTCCCCCCGGCCGCGCACGTTGAATGCGAATTGTGGGCATCGGTCCAACCATCGGCGACCGTCCCCTCACCCTCCGAACGTGGATAATATGTACTTGCGTGCTCGTTAAAATCAATTTTTCCAAACACTTTTGAAATCGGTCCTGGAGCAGATACGACTACCGTTGACGATGGGGAAGAAAAGAAAAACTCCCGTACACATTTGTGCGTCGCTCCGGGTACAACGTTGTTTTCCCGACACCAATAATATATAATATGCGGACGTGCGTACGTTCACACACATGCGCACACACACATTTATATCTGATGCTTTTTATTTTTTTTATATCCGAGTGTGAGTGGTGCCACACTGCATCCAAAGGACAAACAAAACACATACACAAACACACGCGCGCGCTGTGAGCTCGAGTACTTAACGTCTTCTTTTGTTATCTCGACGTACATTTCGAATGTTTTCCTCTTCGTACACCTCTGTAGCAATACCACCTACCTACCTACGTGTATACGGGGTACCCACGACGGTGTATACAGCAGGCGCTCGCGCGTCTCTTTGTCCTCGCCAAGAAAAAGGAAAAAAAATAAAAAATAAAATAAAAATGAGAATGAAATCCCGCTCATCTTTTTATACACCCAAACGTCTTTTTACGATTTTTTTTTCGGTCTTTCACAAACGCTATACGTCGTCGCCCAGCGTAAAACGTTTTTAAATTATAGTCGTTTCTTCGTCCGTTCTGCGCCCCCCGTTTTTTTTTTTCTTTATTTTTTTTCTCGTTTCACTTTTTCCATTCCATTCTCCTTATTCTTATATTTTTATTCTTCTGGTGCTGGTGCACGCGACGATGACGACGATATATTATAGCTGCCGACCGACGACCATGCCGCTATTCACCGGAGCGCTCAGAAAACTCCTTGCAGATGCGCTCATGTCCCACGTACCCAAGTTCCTTGTGCGTGGCACCCCTATGACGACGTCCCACTCGCCGTAAACCTTTAAGAAAATATTGTACTACGCAGTTGGAACAGCTCCTCGAACACGTGTTTTAATATCGTAAAAGAATAGTCGCTTGGAAACATGGTTTTTGTATTCGTTTTTTTTTTCATTTTCCAAAATTATTCTCCCTTCGAAATCCGAAGCTACGTGAAACGGGTATGAATCGTCAGATTTCGACGGAGCTACGTGTACTGATAACGATTAATGTTTGTTTTTAATACCGATGATCGAATACAGTTTGCCACCCGTGAAAAATACATTTTATTAATCATTTTACCAAAAGCGTACACGCGTTGGTACACCCAACCTAAGCCGCGTCACGTGCGTAAACAATCCGCCAATGCAATGCGGGCCGTTGATGTTTTTAAAATAGCAGTAACTTAAATTTATTGACAGATCAACTACTGATGGTGTTGTGGCATAATAATAGTAACATCATAGCACGTGAATTAAGCAATAATCACGTTTTCTCGTAGATTTTACGAATTCGATACCGCGTAGAACGCACATTTGCCTTTTTTCAAACTTGTGGCGTGAATTCTATACCCCCCTGTCATTGCCAGCCGCACGGCTGATTGCAAAAGTTTGTGTGGTCGACCGCGGTATTGGTGCTGCTTCCGGTTCTCGATCATAACTCCGTATTACAACTCTGTCACATCCGTACACTGACAACTGTTGTGCACACTTAAAACGCGTACTTATATGTCCTCCAGTGTTACAGCGTTTAAACGAGGGTTTCCAAAGATCCGGCATGGCTGAGTCTTTAAGGACCCGTCGAGCGTTTAAAACTTTTATGAAACTTTACGGCCGTCCCCTGCCGACGACTATCACCGTGCGACGTACACAACACATTTTGTTTTGGTTATTTTTTATTTTATTTATTTATTTATTTTTTTCAAACATTTAATATAATTTTTTAATTTTATTTAGTAACTATTTTAACCATGACGAATTTTTATTTTTCGTTTATCGGCACACACAGTTCCTGTCGTAGTATAATGTATTATATAGATAGTTAGTCAAACGATGTTATACGTTTTATATTGTTTGCATGTATACCTATACCTATATACCTATATACTGATATTATTATATTATAAATATATATTTATATGTTTAATTTGTATTATTTTATATTACATATTATAACCTGTGCTCTAAATAAAATTTAATTATTTTAATTTTGATTGTTTTCTATAACTTTTTTTTTTATTTTCATTTGTTTTTTTTTTTTTATTTTTTTTTATTTGTAAAATTCCTTTAGCTTATAAAATTAATCGATTGATATTCAAAATGCATTTGCCAAAGACGTCATATTTTATTTTTGTATAAACATGTTTAACAGTGTTTTGAGTTATAATACTATGAAATATTACTTTATGTATTGTGTATAGAATTTTTTTTAAAAATTTATCTGTAAAATTTGTTTGGATATATCTCTAAATAATAGGGAATAACGTTAACATTTAAACAATATACTAATGGTTGAAAGAATAAAGATTTAAAATTAAAAATTATGTATAATTAATTGTATACCGATTTATATTTAAATGAAATATTGTGATATTGTACTATTAAAACAATAAATAAATATATTTATATATATGTGTATAAATATATAAATAATACATACGTGTTTATTGTTTATTTTGATAGTGTTATCGTGGGTTCGGGTAGCAGATGCACTGCACACTCGTACCCGAAACTATTGCATATCCATTAGAATTTTTACGAAAGAAGAAAAACAATTCAGTCGGATCATCGTATTTCGTCACGACCCCGGATGTGTACAAATCATGATAAGATCCGTGACGTTATTGTCCCGTCGTAGGAAGTAGGATAATATTAGCTACCCTGTGTGCAATTATGTGATTATAACTTCTATGCGATTATAGATCTATGTTCTCATCTGTGACTTCTACAAACAACATCTATTTATCGTCACATAGCATACAACTAACAAATAGGGAATCTTTGTGATGTTACAATATTGAAGTATATGTGATAAAATGTTGTAATATCGCATAGAGGATAATAATGCGACGACTGTGAAAATGTTTTCACATAGTAATAACATTTGAGACATCTATGTAAGCTTTTTTTACTACATCATATGTTCAACCATACGACGTCAATATTATCACAGAAAAATATTATATATATAAATATATTATTGTTTTACAAAATATTAAATAATATTATATGTAAAGACCCTGGCCAGCAGTAAGTACAAACTGTACAAAAAGTCTTAATTCGAGGTTTCTAAAAATAAATATCAAATAATAATTAATATGTAGTGATACATCAATACCACACACGGTTATAAATATAGTTCTTTATAACCGTGAAACCCAGTAATTATCTACAACAGTCACGAGTCGAGACAACTGTAGATAACCATGATCAATACACACGCGCACGTATTACTTTGAAATATCACTATAAACTATTTTTTTATATGTATGTATTTAAATACTTTAAATGATCATTACTTTAAATAGTAGATAGATGGGAAGTGGCTTATGGGCAGTTAGGAGAATACGTTCCATAGTCTTTTTTAATATGGAAAATGTATTATTGATAAGATAAAGGAAACTTAGTCTATTCAATGTGTTTTATAATGGCTAAATGTCGAGAATATATAAGTTGCAATACTTATCGGAAATAAAATAAAAATTGGTATATCAATAAGAACTTACTATACATAATTATTAATAAATTAAGAATTAATTTGAAAAAGATTTCAATTCCCTATTATAAGAAAAACGAATTGAAAATTAAATGGTTAAGACTACTTGGGTGGATACCTATAGCTAATTTAATATATCTACTATATTATAAAATAATTTTTTAGTATTACTATATACTCGTAAGTATTAAGTATACATATTATGATATTATATCTATATCATAATATGATAATTAGGTATATTATAATTGCACACATACTACATAGTAGTTGATTGAGACTAAATACACAATTTTTCCTCAAAATGATATCTATGTAGCATGTCCCAGTAGGTTAGGCGTAGGTATAAGAAGCGTTAGGGTAGTAGGTTCGATACAGCGAAAAATATATGTATAGATAACAGTTTTTTTTTCCTTTTTTTTTTGTGGAAGTTTATATTGTCATCACATTGTTACCTCTATGTACACACTATGAAAAGTTCTATGTTTATCTCATCCTGATGGCCTATAAGGTTAGGTTCTATGTTAGGAAACATAGAACATAGTTTTGAAACATCACATACAGTAACTTTACGTGTCAGGACATTAAGCGTCGTATTGTAGTCTCAGAAATATCTATAGGCTCAATTATCTAACTTCACATTCTCAATGAGACAACTATGTAACGTATCGGAGATTAAAATTTGCTCACAGGGTAGGCATTATATTGCGTCTCGTTGCGCCGTTCATTCGGTACAGGTCGAATCTGAACGAAAACCGTGTTGGCTTAAAGAACCTGCCCGGCAAAAATAAAACGAGTATAAAACGTTACAATGGACTCTGCCCGAGCCAGAATTAGTTGTTCGAAAAACTTTTACGATTAACGTGAAATTAATGGAAAAAGATTTGCGACAAAATACTACGAGCACCGAGCGCA